GTACAGTGCTATTGGTGCCTCCGATGAATCGCCCATATTTTACTGTTTCGGAGAATAAGCTCCTGGAGCCTAATTTCACACCAGTTGAGTAGCTGAATCCATCCCTGTATGACAAGTTCCGTTAATTAACCATCTTTGCCTTAGGAAGTCACCAAATGGCCCAATCAAATGCATTCATTGGAAACTAGTCAGGTGCAACCCTTTGGATAACAGTGATGGTGTGAAATTTTTGAGTACACTTAACTGATCGCTGAAAACAACTCACAAATGAACATACTTGTCCGATTCGTTGAATTTCAGAGTGGGATTCCTATGAGAACAAATGTGCCTGGTTAAAGTACTTTGAAGTTCAAGAATATTCTGCTATGTTTGACATGATTGGGTGCATTTTGAAGTGAACATAATGCAGCTTTTGACTGGTCTTGCTAGACGAGAGAACTTTGACACTAGATCCAATCCTCCCTCTCAAGTTTTTACGAACCATGCCCTGAATTGGCTACGGTTAGAAATCCTTACACATATTACTAATGTATATCTATACCCACATATCTTGTTCTAACTCTCTGTTCATCAATATTTAGCCAAAACTGGCAATTCCTTAATCCGGACCCGATTTAAGCGCATCAGACCAAATTGGAACATTTTGACGTAATCGAATGTTACCAAATTTTATTTACTGCGCATATTGACGTTGCAAAGCTTGATTAAGAAATGAAGTTGTCATTCGAATGGTCTCAAGTGTTGCGGATCCTTGTTCTGGTCTGTTTTCAACAGCCTCTAACTGTCATGATGTCCACTTCTTTAAACACAGTCCTATTTACATGTGCCAATAGAGCAGTAAGTATTCATTTTGTATCGCTTCTTGATCTATGTCAGAACCTGAAACTGCAAAGCAAGAGTGGCACATTTGGTTAACACCATCCCTCTGGATTACTGTCATGTGAAATCGGTTGGTGGGTAATAGGGCTTTACTGCACGTCACGATAGATGACAGTTATATTCATCGTCCCTTACCTGCCGTTGTCCGCATCTAAAGTATAAACAACATTGAAATGGATGAAACTGGGTTATAACGAATAGTTTTTAATTTTGCGCGCGGAGTTCAAATCTTCTCGATTCAAGTTTTGATACATCGTTTGATGTCATTATGAGGACGATCAACCGCGCAGCTTACTATCTTCACACCTCGTTTCTTACTAAAGCTTTGCAATATCAACATCTGTAAAAAATAAAATTTTCCAACATTCGATCACAGACAAGTGATCGATACTTAATGATCTGACGTACATAAATCGGTATGTCTAAAGTTTGTGAGCCAAAGCTAGAGAAATGCAGGTTTTGGCTAAAAAATTGTTGGGTTAGAAATTGCGAGTTTCGCATAAAGCTTGATATGAAAAGCTGTGATCAGATGTCTTAGAAAATTGCCATTGATTTCTACTGTAGCAGCTAGGATTTTGACAAGGTATGCACAAAATTGGCTGTTAGCTTTTGTCAGTTACACGAGTACCTCGGGGGCCGAAGTATACGCTCTCCGACAAACGCTACCCCAGGGAAGCTCACTTGTCCTTATCGATAACATACGAAAAAAGATTTCAACTACATTTAGAATCAGATCGTTCGGTAAAAATCAATGTGTACATATTTGTAATTTCACTCAGGATTTTTTCAAATGCGAAAAGCATGCATGATTGTTTGAACAAGTTTTATCGCATGAGAGACATACGTGAAACGTGCCAAGAAGCAGTCATTGTCTTTGAAGTCGCGTCCTCCACGTGTCGCACGCGACGGCCAAAGTATCTCGAACATCCGAATCAACCAGATCAAGCACATAAGCACATGTAATAACATTTGGCCGGTAGAAAAGTTAAACTTTCACCTCACATTGATTCAAATAATTTCTTGTTTTGAATCGCAACATTCTGGCAAACAAGGCTGCACAACCAGGCGTCTGTCCCAGCGCATCTGTGAGCATCAACCTGCGTGGTCGCGAAGTGGAGCAATTAAGTCAATCACAAGTGCCGTCTTGTCACACCTTGTCGACACTAAGCACATAGTAAACGTGACCGAAGCGTTCCGACCCCTGTACAGAGTTAAGACGGGACGGTCTAGACACGTGCCGTTTCGCATTCTAGCCACAGCAGAGGCAGTTTCCATTTGTCTTTATAATACCCCTCTGTGAGCACAGAAACAATTTGTGCAAGCACTCAAGCTCCCATGGCCGGATTGCTGCTAAGTGGCCTGTCATGAAACATCGGAGCAAATGATAACTGGGAACCAATCATGAAACAAACTCTTGAATACTTTAATTACTTTCCCTCTCCTTTTTCCTTGTAAATCCTCTGACACTAGTCATATTTATTTTGTTGTAAGGGTATGATTAAGACACACTGAAAACAAGCTTGTTTACCAATTTGTGTTCTCGTTAAGAAGGCCGGATACATAGGTATTCCATATACTCCTGTGGGAAATGGAACTCATGATGAAATCTTTTCCGACGAGGGCATCATTGAACATCAAAAACAAATGTAAACTAAAGTATATTTTTCTGGATCATAATTCATAGGAGTTTGCGTATTGAAAGCATCTCTGTTATCCCACACCCACCCCCTCGCACTGAATCATCCGTGGATATACTAATAAACGTTTGTAATGTCCTTGGTACAGTGTTTGATCGTGATTGATTGATTGTCCAGTCAGTCCGACTCGCGCATATCTCCACTGAAAAGGTGCAACATCGTTTTTCTTCCATTTCACATTTCCGATAGTTTTACATTACCAAACAACGCATCAAGGGAGCCGGACTGGCTAACAAGTCCGACACTGGAAGAAATTTTGAACAATCCACCCGGAGCGAGTTGTTTTGGCGCAGCGCAGGTTGAACAATCTTCACACGTGCTGGATGTAAATGATAATACAGTTCACCAGTAAGTTGTGGATGTCAGTTTTGGATGCAGGATTGTGGTCAGGATGTATAACGTATTCACTTTGGGTTTTGGAGAGTTAGGATAATTTGAAGCGATGGACACGATACAATAGTTTCGTTTGGCCTTTTTCGCGGATTTTGGTAATGTTTTTACAAGCGCTTCATCATCGACTGAGGCGACATTTTCAATGCTTGTGAAGTGGTACTGTTATGATTGAACTCGTTCGTTTATATGTGCATTTGTCCGCTGATTATTTTTGTCCCTTTTTTCTCACTGTTTTCAACTCGGTTTACCGTTGAACGGGTACTAGGGGTTGAGGATGGGAGAGTTATTTATGTCTTCATTTTTTTCATCGTTTCATTTTTTTTAATTTTTGCTTCCTTTCGGTGAACACATAACGATAAAGTTATGGGAGGGGAGAAGCGGTTAATCAAGGACTGCCGTATAACACACAATGGCGAATGTCAGTTGG